CCCTGCTGGGTACTGAGAAGCTGGCTTTTTCTATTCTCTAATAGAAACATTAAGAGAGCAAGCAAGCTTCATTTCTAGAAACACAGATGTCTTTCGGGACTTTGCAAAGCATTTCATGTTCCAAAGCTCAGCCCATGTTAAAACAGAGAAATGTTTTCTTTGGGACCCTCTCCCAGGAGAAAAAATACAACTCTCACATGGCCAAATGTCTAGAAGCCCCTCAGCATACTGAACAGAATTTCCCAAGAATCTTCCAGAAGAGCAGCCTATTCATTCATTCAGCCAAATTTACCAAGCAGCTCTCAGAAAGTGATGCAATGCAGGGTTCATGGTACAGTGAGTAGCAAGGAGCATAAGATAGCTCTCCCTTTCAGGTGGATGGGTTGTGGACCACATCTTTTGAGGACAAGCTGGAGGAATTTATCTTCATGCTCAGAGCTTGGGCCTCCTTGAAGATTTTCATTCACTTACCCTCTGGGCTTTAACTGGAAATGCCCATAATTCTTCCACCCTCAGAAGTGCAATTACTTGCTTTAAAGTCACAAAGATTAATTCAATATTGGAGAGTCCCTAACTGCTTGAAGGACCCATTGTCTCGATTTGTCTAGGAATAAGGGGTTTTCTGGGACGTGGTACTTTCAGTGCTAAAACTGGAATAGTCTCAGGCAAATAAGGATGGTTGGTCATCCTTCAGGCTACTGAGATTCCTTAATGATTATTTAGTGTTTTTACTGCTGTTGAAATTGCCATGGGCTTCGTGCTTGGAGCACCGAGCACTTGGGCAACATCTTCAGTTAATATGTCTACAGGATCAGCTCACATGAGCCTCAGGAAGACCCCCAGAGTAGGGTTTCTCAACAGTAGCATTATTGATACTTTAAGCTGCATAATATTTACTGGGGGGGGGGGACTGACCTGTGCATTGTAGGATGTTTACCAGCATCCCTGGCCTCCACCCACCAGATTCCTGTAGCATTCATCCCCAGTTGTAACAATCAAAAACTGCCAAATGTCCTCTGGGGTGAGGTAAAATTACTCCCACTACTGCCTCACTAAGCATTTGGGGCTTTTGTACATCTATTGAGTCTGGCAGAGGAGGCATCCTGGCTATAGGCTGGGCACAGTCACCCTATTTGCCCCCATGAATGTCTAGTGGGTACTCTGTACATTCCCTAAGTAGAAGCAGAGTCAGCCTACTAGCTGGGTTCCCCCTGTGACAGTGCTGCCTAACTACATACACACACACACACACACACACACACACTGCTGTCGAGTTGAACCTGACTCATAGCGACCCCTGCTTGTGTTTCCGAGGTGGTATCGCTACGGAAGTAGATCGCCCAATCTTCCTTCCAAGGAGTGGCTGGTGGGTTTGAACTACTAGCCTACTGGTTAGCAGGCAAATGCCTTAGGCACTATGCCACCAGAGCTACCTAAGTGCCTCCTTAAACCAATTGTTCCCATGGAGTATTACACCAACACTTCTAGTCTGGGATGCTTCCTGGGGATATCAAAAGGAGTTTGAGAAATACTGCATGGAAATTCACAAAGCCCATTATATAATGAAGGTTGTGAAAAGGCCTGCAATGAAGACACCTGTTGGGATTTTACAACCCAGATTTATGTTGAGGTCAACCTATCCATTAAGGTTTAAATACAATTGGCTCAATTCCCCAACTTTAGGTTCTTTGGAAACTCAAGTGCCCTCCCTGAGAGTTCTGAGAATTTCCAGAGGGACTTCGTTGTTACTTCTGGCTCAGATTTCAGCCCCTTTCGCCTCTTATCAAATTCTCCAACTCATTCATATTGCACCTTTTACCACTTCCCCCTTGGTTCTGCTCTATGCTGACCAAGATGTGGATTTCAGTCTCCTTCCCCTGATTTCCCCTTCCCCAAAATGCTCACACAAGGTATTTGTGTATTCAGTGGGCTTATGAAGGTTTGTGGTGGCAGAAGTCATTTGCGTCTCCATGATTTTTACCCTCCAACCAGTGCAACCAACAAGTTGACATCAAACTGATTCAGATTCATGGTGACTCCATGTGCATTAGGGTAGGACTGTTCTCCACAGGGTTTTCAATGGTTGCTTTATTTGGATGTAGATTACCAGGCCTTTCTTCTGAGGTACCTCCAACCTTACAACCCTTCAGTTAGCAGCTGAGACCATTGACTGCATCACCCAGAGATTCTCATCTCAAAACTTTCCTCATAGACTCTTAACTCTACTTTTCCAGGCCCCCTTCTACTTCCATATCAGCTCAACTTTCCTCACATTATTGTGCAGAACAACTTCTTACTCTGTCTTGGACTTACCTTTGCATTTTCAAAGTCTCATTAACAGGTGACTACATAATTTATCCTCCAACTGAGACGTTTTTGAGAGTGAAAGTAGCCCTCATAATAAACTTACTGAGAAAACAGGACATCCCAGACAAACTAAGACTTGTGATTATCCTATCTCTTCTAAAACAGGGAACCACTAAAAACAAAACAAAACAAAACAACCATTGCAGTTGAGCCAATTCTGACTCATAGCGTCCCTATAGAACAGAGCAGAACTGGCCCATAGTAGCCACTGGTGGGTTAGAGCCACTGACCTTTCAGTTAGAAGTCTAGAAGCTGACTGCTTAACTACTATGCCACCAGAGCTCCTATAAATTCCTAACTGGGAGGAACCAAACCGAAAAATACTAACTCACTGCCATCGAGTTGATTCTGACTCATAGCAACCCCCATTGGATTTCCAAGGCTGTAAATCTTTACGGAAGTAGATTGCCCCATCTTCCTCCCATGGAACAGCTGCTGGGTTTGAACCATGAACCTTCTGGTTAGCAGCCAAATGCCTTACTCACTATGCCACCAGAGCTCCTTAACAGGGAGGAACAAAAGAGACAAAATCCAGAAGCTGGCCCTGAATGGTATGACTCCCCCTCCTCAATTCTTGCCTTAGGAAAGGGAAAGCTGGGAAGGGCTCCTTTGCTGGCCTATCAGGAGCCTGCCTCCAGGGCTGGGTGTGGTTTGGGTGAACATGCGCCTTTTGTCTCATATGGCACTCCTCTCCATAAGAAATGCACTTTGATTCCAGGAGAATTGAAAGAAATACCCAGCCAGCTACCTCCATCAGAATGTTTATATGCATTTTTTATAAAACACATACACAACTGAATTTCCATTTAATGGGATAAAAAACATTTGAAGATCAACAATGGTGATAGGGGTACAACACGGTCAATATAATTGTTGTTGTTATGTGCCGTCGAGTGGGATCCAACTCATAGCGACTCCTCCTTGGGTTTCTGAGGTGATATCACTACAGAAGTAGATTGCTCAACCTTCCTTCTGAAGAGTGACTGGTGGGTTTGAATCGCCAGCTTTCTGGTTAGCAGTCAAGTGCCTTAGGCACTACACTACTAGAGCTCAACTGAATTGTACATTTAAAAAGCATTAAAATGGCAAATGTTTTATTGTATATATTTTACCACAACAAAAATGAGATAATAACCAATCTCACAGACTGACTTTGAGGCTCAAATTTAAAACAAAAAAAATGCATATACACAAGTGAAAAAGCTGTATGAGGATCCCAGCTGAACAGAGTCTGATCTCTCCCCACTCCAAGCATTTCATTGGTTCCCTGTCAGTGGAATACAATGGAGGCGTATTCCACTTGGTCTGGTGAAGCCCTTCTGGCTCGATCAAAAGGGGGCATGTTGGCATAGATGGCGTATTCTTCCTCTTTCCAGGGGGCCAGGTTGATCGTGTTGGAATATATAGCATCAGCATGGCCAGGAAGATCCTTTAGAGATACAACCCCAGTTAGAAGCTCCAAAGATTTCTGAAGTAAACAGCAAGTATCTGTTGCCCCTATGGGGCAGTAAGTGGGAATATTCATTCCTTGCTGAGCAAGCTGTGGGTCTCTCTCAATCTTCAGAAATGTTCCTTTCAGGGGTCATCTCTGCCTCATGCCCACCACCCTCCATATGGGGTCTGTCTGAGGAAGAGGTGGCAGAAATGGCCAGGGGGTCCTTCTAGGTAGGGCTCATCCATCTCCTTACCGACTGGTGGGAAAAGTAGCTCTGATGCCTCAGTTGTCTTTTAAATAGTCCTAGAAAAGTTAACAAACTCAGAGTGAGTCTGAGCTGGGGTAGTGACCATCTTTACTTGGTTGATTGCTGGGCCTAGGGTTGAGCTTTGAAATGGCTAGCCCACCGTGGGGTCTATGAGACTGAGCTTAATGCCCAGGAAGACACAGGGGGAGTGAGCACCATTAGTGCACTTTATCATTTTTGTTCATTATTTTCATTAGATTATTTGGCCTCAATATTTCTTTTGGTTGGTGTGTAAAACCCATAAGTATCTATGCCAATTGCTCATATACGGCTTTCAGCATGAAGAATGTTTATCATCAGTAAATCTTGTTGCTATATTGTTCCCCAGAACTCTGGAGGATAGCTATTATTGGGCTGTATTAGCCCTAAATAGTTAGGCCCTACAGCCTGTCCACCCCCAAATTTGCTCCATGGGAAAGACACTCCCACTCCCATGCCCACTCCCAGTTTCTCTCCTTTCCTCATTCCCGCTTCCAAGGTCAGCTTATTCAACTCACTCTCATGCCTCCATTTCTTCAGGGTCATGAACAAGAGACCCACTAGGAGCAAGATGAGGACCACAACCCCAATAGAGGTGGCAATGGCCATGGTTGCTGTGCCTAAACTGAATGAAGCAAACAGGAGAAATAAGGATGATCCAGTTGCCCTGGTTGGCTTTGATGACCAACCACAAAATTGCCCTGGGGTTTTCTCACCCCAGTAGAAGCTCTTCCATTCCTGGTCTTCCACCTCCCCAAAAAGTTGATCATCCCCTGCCTCCATTTTGGGTCTCTCTCTGCCCTAACCTCCATGGCCATGACCCCAAATCACCCCCACATCTGGGCGAAGCAGACCACTTCCCCAAGCTCCGCAGCCCTCTTCTTCCTGGGATCCAGTCTTTCTCTTACCCACCTGCTGCTGAGCCCATTGAATTTCGTGTCTGACTTCACGGTGGTGGTGTTATCTGCAGAAAGAGACAGAGAAAAAGGAGAGGAGATTTGAGAGAAATTTAGCACACACATGCAAATGAGCTCTACAAGATCCTAAATGGTGATTAATGTTAGCTGCCATTTACTGGGGACTTATTATATGCCAGGCACATTCATTCTCTCATCTAATGTTCATAAATATACAATGTTGTTGTTGTTTTTGAGTCATCTCCAACTCATAGTGACCCTATGCACAGCAGAATGAAGCCCTGCACGGTCTTTCACCAGCCTCACTATCCTTGCTATACAATGACGTCAGTCTAGACTGACTTATTGCCGTTGAGTTGATCTCAACTCACAGCAACCTGCCTTGGGTTTCCGAGGTGGTATCTCTACGGAAGTAGATTGCCCAGTCTTCCTTCTAGGAGTGGCTGGTGGGTTTGAACCACCAGCGTTCTGGTTAACAATCAAATGCCTTAGGCCCTACATCAACCACCAGAGCTCTCATACAATGAAATAAGAACAATAATTATTCCCATCTTACAGTACAGAAACCAGCTCAGAGAGATCAGACTTGCTCCAAGTCACAGAGTTAGTTTAAAAAAAAAAACTCACTGACTTAAAAACAAAAAAACTCAGTAGAGTTGGATCTGACTCATAGCGACCCCTCCTTGGGTTTCCGAGGTAGTATCATTACGGAAGTAGATTGCCCCCTCTTCCTTCCGAGGAGTGGCTGGTGGGTTTGAACCGCCAGCCTTCTGGTTAGCAATCAAATACCTTAGGCACTATGCTATTGGATGGCAACATTTGAACTTGAACCCATGTCTCTCTGATTTTATGTTGTATTTTCCTAAGCACTACACTCCACTGAAAGGAGCCCTGGTGGTGCAGTGATTAAGTGCTCGGCTGCTAACTGAAAGGTTGGTGGATTGAACTCACCAGCTGCTCTGCGAGAGAAAGATGAGCCACTCTGCTTCCATAAAGATCACAGCCTAGAAAACGCTATGGGCTAGTTCTACTCTGTCCCACAGGGTCACCATGAGTCAGAATCGATTCAATAGCAATGGGACTTACATTTTGCTGCCTCCATGCCAGACTTTAATTCTCAAGTTCTACTATTCTTACAAAAGGTTAAGGGTTACTAGATATGATAGGATGTTCAGGAAAAAGGTAACCAGAATGATATATGTGATCAGTACAGGGGAACATGTGAACTTTGAACTTTGAAATGCACCGGCAGGTTGGGCTGGGACTAGGAAGGGGACAATTGTGAGAGCATGCCCATATTGGGGCGGGGAGGGGAAGAATTATCCACACTATGAAAGAATTTCTCCTGCGTCAAGGGATGGAGACACCAAGTCTCTCCCCTCTCCAGCCATAGTCCGTCCCTGGATTCTCACAGTTAGAAAGAATCTTAAAATTTATTTAGCCACACAATGAGGAACCTCAGAGGAAGGGACTTGCCCACTCCAAACCCAAACCTCTCTTTGCCTGCACACATGACCCTTCTGTTTATTCAACCCATAAAGTAGAACAGCACAATTTATCTCTTATGGCAGATAGTGCTTCTCTGGCCACATGTCTTGGAAAGTTGGCTACTCAGACACTCAGATGCAGAGGTTGCTGCCAAGGAGGGGTGGAAGGAACATATCAAATTACTCTAATAAAAAAAAAAATTTTTTGTCAAATTGACTCCAACTCATGGTGACCCCATGTCACACTGACTCTGTGTCAGAGTGGAATTATGCTACATAAGGTTTTCATTGGCTGATTTTTCGGAAGTAGATTGCCAAGCATTTCTCCAAGTGACTCTGGGTGGACTCGAACCTCAGTTAACAGCTGAGCATCTTCACTGTTTGCACCACCAAGGTACTCCTATTAGACAACCAGGGCTATCTCATATCAACTAGTGATGAACAGCATCTGTGAGTGAAGACCACCAACACTTATCACCTCTTTGGGGCACAAAGGCCAGATGGAGTTTTGTCTTAACACAGCTCACTTCCTCTCTGTCCTTTTATTTCTGTCCTCCTTCTGAGTAAGATAGCTGACCTCATCCAGTTTCTCTTTGACAGCTCTCACCCACCTACCAATCAAAGAGTGGGAAGTGGGCTTGGATACCAGATCTCCCAGTGCACATGGCAACAAGTGAGTCAATGAGGCACTGAGTCACTGTGTGTGTGTGCAAGGGAGGAGTGCAAAGAGATGCCACACATATGTCCCAAGCAATGACAGGGGAGCTGGAACCAACTGGGGGAGGCTGGTGCCAATAGGTAGAGCACTCTTGTTTACAACAAGGTGGAGAGGCAGTATGAGGGTGTCTATCTGGGGCCCAAAAGTTAAGTACACATCCTGGGCAGACAGAGGAGGGTCAGTAGGGGTGAGAAGGAGAAGCATGAAGGATAATGTCACGAAAGAGTCTGAGATCCAGAGATCTCCAGCACTTCCTAACTATGTGGTTTGCAGTGGCATCGCTAGAGGGGTGCAGGCTGCACTGGGTGATGTTGTCAGAGGAGGTGACACCAAAATGACTGTCTGTAAAATTTTTGTGTAGTGTTTCAACAGAAATTTGTTATTTCTTGTAAAAAATATCCCCATAGTTAATTATAACAACAAAAAAACATTTTTCATAAGCCCACCTTACATATATCAATATGCCTACAAGGCTAAAACTAAATGTTGATTTACTTTTTAAACCTTGTAATGTGCTCTAAGGAACTCTGGTGGTGCAGTGCCTAAGGCATTTGGCTGCTAACCAGAAGGTTAGCAGTTCAAACCCACTAGCTGCTCCATGGAAAGAAGATGGGGCAAGCTGCTTCTGTAAAGATTTGCTGCCTCAGAAAACCAACAGGAGTCACTATGAGTCAGAATTGACTCAATGGCAGTGGGTTTTGAGTGGTAACATGCTCTAGTTAGAGCTGCCATTATTATCCAGTTACAATGACGCTTCAGATCACATCATTTCACGTGCACGTGCTCCAAGCATGCACTGTGTTCCTGTTGCTGCCACTGTTTTAATATTTGCTGATTTTGTCAAAATTTCTGGTATTTCAGCTACAATATTGTGGTGTTTGTGAATGCTTTATCAATATTTTTTTATTATGAAGTAATAATTAAAAGAAGGAGAAAAATCAAAGAAATCTTCCAGTCAGTACTAATGATGTTATAACTTTAAACTTTCAATGTAGAAAGATTTTACAAAACAATTTTGTTGTTAGTATTCATATAATCTAAGAAATATTACATTTAGGCAATTTACAACTGTATTTATCATGCATTATTCTATGATTAAAATTGTTAATAAACATTACTAAGGGTTTCTAATGATCTGGTACAGGAAGAGGTCCATGGGGAGGGGAGTGACACCATGAGTTACTACAGTGGGTGACAGCAACTTGAGTGATGCCAACCGTGGTCTGAGATCCATTTTCTTCATCTGTGAAATGAACATAATATAAGTATTCACATCACAGAGTTCTTGTGAGAACTAAATGTTAAATTGTATTTAGCATTAGCTAAGGATCTCTGGTGGTGTAGTGCCTAAGGCATGTGACTACTAACCAGAAGGCTGGCAGTTCAAACCCACCAGCCACTCCCCGGAAGGAAGGTTGGGCAATCTACCTCCATAGTGATACTGCCTCTGAAACCCAAGGAGGGGTCATTATGATTTGGACCCGACTCGATGGCAGTGAATTTTTGGTTTGTAATGCCTAGTTTAGGAGCTCTGGGGGCATAGTGCCTGAGGCATTTGACTGCTAACCAGAAGGCTGACGGTTCAATCCCACCTGCCACTCCTCAGAAGGAAGATGAGCAATCTACTTTCGTAGTCATATCCCCCCAGAAACCCAAGGAGGGGTTGCTATGAGTCGGATCTGACTCAAAGGCAGTGAGTTTGGTTTATTTTGGTTAATGAGTATTTTAAGGAGCTCTGGTGGTGCTGTAGTTAAGGTATTTGGCTGCTAACCAAAAGGTCAAGGATTCAAACTCAACCGCCGCTCTGTAGGAGAAAGGTAAGGTAGTCTGCTTCTATAAATATTGACAGCCTTGGAAGCCCTATAAGGCAATTCTACCCTGTCCTATACAGGATCACTATGAATCAGAATTGACTCAATGGCAAAGTGTTTGGTTTGGTTTTAGTGGCACAATGGTTAAGTGCTTGGCTACCAACCAAAAGGTTTGTGGTTAGAACTCACCAGCAGCTCTGTGTGTGAAACAACCTGGCAATCTGCTCCTGTAAAGATTTACAGCCTAGGAAGCCCTATGGGAGTTTTCTCTGTCACCTGGGGTTGCTATGAGTTGAAATAGGCTCAATGGCTCCTAACAACAACAACTACTACTTTGCCTAGTGCTGGGGTTCAATTGCTCCTACCTGAGCAGAACAATCGGATGGCGCTGTCCAGGGAAACATTGCTGGTTCTGGATTCCTGGAGTCTACAGCTGGTCCCATTCATTTCACCAAGGGGTCCGTCCAGAGGGTTCTTGTCCCAGATACTGAGGTTCTCAGGACAGGTGGGCTCCTTTAGCTGGAAGCAGAGTTTCTCAGAGGCATTAAGCAGCAGCTGGCAGACACAGGACCCCGTGGAGCTGGCACTTCTCATCTCCATGTCTTTCATTTCTCCATGGGAACCTGTGGAATGGGGAGGATGTTGGCATCTCAGCACTGGAGGGGAGGGTCTCAAAAGGCATAGAGATAGTGTCTTTCTGTTATTGAAGGCCTATCCCGGGCAGATAGTCCAAAGTCAGCTCCCCAGCCTCTCCCTGCGACATCGTACCTTAGCTGTTAGTATCTGAAGTTACTTTGATCATTTATTTTCTTACTTGGTTATCATCTATCTCTCAACACAAGAATGTGAGCTCTACATTTTTACCTGTTTTGGTCCTCACTACTTGCCCAGTGCCTAGAACAGTGCCTCACACCACGAATATTATCAATAAATATTTGTAGAATGAATAAACAAGAGAATGCTCCAAAATCTCCTTTATGGTATCCTGGCCAGGGCCATCCAACGTCTCTTGGAATCTTAGAGAGCCTATACCACACTTTTGAATCTCTTATTTGAAAGCAAATCTTCATCCTTGGAAGGAGATATTGATTTGAAACAGCCCAAAGCCATGCTAAACTAACCAAGATATGTGACTGAACAGGGTGATGCCAATTTTAGGAGCTTTGGTGATGCAGTGGTTAAGCACTCACCTGCTAACCAAAAGGTTGGAAGTTTGAACTCACCAGCTTCTCTGTGGGACAAAGATGTTGCAGTCTTCTTCTGTAAAGATTTACAACTTTGGAAACCCTATGGGCAGTTCTACACTCTCCTATAGGGTCACCATGAGTTGGAATTGATTCAGCGGCAGTGGGTTTGGTTTTGGATTCCAATTTTGGAAAAAAGAAGAGATGTACCTACCAAACACCATGTGGTAGTTAACGTTGTGTGTCAGCTTGGCTGGGCCTGGTTAAGTAGCTGGGCAGTTGGATGTAGTATTCCCCATGATGAGATCAACTCCATGGTGGAATCTACTGTGAGCAGCTGAGTAGCTGCCTTAGGGATGTGGTCTGCTTCCTGTATATAAGGAAAAGCTTTAGGGAATAGTCTCTAGCATATGGCACACTTGAACCCTTTGTGGCCGTGTAGTTGTTCAGCAGCCTGCCATGCTCTGCCAACCTTGGGACTTTCAATGGACTTGAATTAATGGCCTGCCATGTGGCTTGGTAACATTGGGACTATGCCATTTTATTTGTCGACTTTGGGCTTGTTAGCTTCAGCAGCCAGTAGCTGCCTGAGTGAAGAGATGCTTCTAGCTTCAGTGGGCCAGGAGCAAGAGGTAGAGCTGAAGCCCAATGTTGAGGGGCTTTCATATAGCCCCTAGAGCCTAGCACTTTGAACTTGGACTTCTAGCCTTCCAAACTATAAGAGAATAAACTCCTGTTTGTTCAAGTCATCCTATGTGTGGTATATTCTTGTCAGAGTGGTGCTAGGTAACCAAAACACACCAAGAGCAATATCCTGCAGGAAACTGAAGAAGGAAGCCCTCCCTTGCTGTGTGTGGCCAAGAGGAAGAAGAAAAAGGAACAGAGTGGGCAATGTGTAGTCTCAAAGGCCACCATGGCAGGCACTCAACCTGTTTTGGGTTTAAGGCCAAGAGAGAGATGTGCTTAATGCCAAACAAAAGAGGCTCTGTCACTCTCTGCCCACTGCCACCACCCCCCATTCCTCCTCTCTTCAGAGATCTGCAGGAGCAATCAGGGAATCCCCTGTTTAACAAGGTCAGAGCTAAGAACCCGGATGGTAGAGATGTGTCGCTTAATCTGGCAGGATTCAGTTGTCCTATATGTGAAATGAGGCAAGGGCAAGAAGAATAAGGCATAGCTATGAAAATGATCCCCACCTGTCTGTCAGTTTGTCATACTGTGGAGGCTTGCATAGTACTGTGATAGTGAAAGCTATGCCCCTGGTATTTCAAATACCAGCATGGTGGACAGGTTTCAGTAGAGCTTTCAGACCCAGACAGACTAGGACAAAAGGCCTGGCAATCTACTTCTGATAATTAAAAAAGGAAGCAACACTGCCACAGAGTCAATTCCAACTCATAGTGACCCTTTAGGACACAGTAGAACTGCCCCACAGGGTTTCCAAGGCTGTAAATCTTTATGGAAGCAGACTGCCTCATCTGCTTAAAACCAAGCTAGAAGGATACGCAGGGAATGGCCTGTTTTCAAAATGTGGTCCAGGGACCCCTGGGAGTCCCAGAGACCCTTTTAGAGGATTCATATTTCTTCACCAAAGGACAATAGAAGGGCATGTCACCAAAGGTGTGGTATCTCGAGAGATACAATCCAAAAAACACAGGAGAAATAGAAATGGATGTTTTCAAACAGCAACATGTGTCCAGGAGGATGGATGAGAGAGCACTCCCCCGAGGCCTCCTGACCAGCAGTGTGGGGCTGTGTAGATGGGCTCTGCCAGAAAGGACAGAACCTCGGCCTGGGTGAGAGTGAGAGAGCATGGTCCTGAGGTGGGAGAAGCTTAGAGAGGAAGCCATGTGCCAAGCTAAGCCACTGACCATCTCCCACTGTGATGTTAAGGTTCACTTACTCCTCAAAAAACACTTCCTTGCTGACTGTTGGTGCCTGAAATGCCAATGGAAGTATCTCATTCCCTTAGCTATGAGGCAAATGCAATCTAAGACGCTACTAAGTATCAGCTAAGATTATACAAGTGTATAGATAATATTATGGAAGATAGATACATGGTCACACTTTAATAAAGCAGAAGTATGTATCTATATACTCAGAAGAGGAACGGGTAGGTGGGGGCATGGGTATAGACAGTAAAGGAGACAAACAAATAGTAAATAAATAGAACATAAGAACCATGCATGCACTCATGATGATGGTGTCACAACTGAGGAATTTGATCAATGCAATTCTGGGCACCTAAAATCAAAGGACCTCCACCCATCTGTCAGTTTGTTGCACTGTGGTGGCTTGGGAGTTTCTATGATGGTGGAAGCTACACCACCAGTATTTCCAATACCAATAGGCTTACCCATAGTGGACAGGTTTCAGCAGAGCTTCCCAGCTAAAACTAGGAAGAAAGGCCTGGTGATCTACTTCTGAACATTAGTCAATGAACTAACACAACAGAATATTTTGTCGGATTTAGTGCTGAAAGATGAGCCCCCAGGCAGGTCATTCAAAATGCACAGTGGTCACAACACGGACTTGAGCGTACGAACGGTCATAAAGATGGTAAAGGATCAGGCAACATTTTGTCCTGTTGTGGATGAAGTTGCCATGAGTCAGAGCTGACTTGACAGCAACCACTAATAATAACAAAAAAAATAAAAGGGAAAAAAAAAAGTCCAGCCAAACTTTTTTTTTTTTTTTTTTTTTAAGTACATGGATATATCTACAGGGGTCGAGAGTGACTGGACTTGGGCCCTGGGCTAAGAAAATGCTACCACCTTTCCCCTATCTAGCAGGAAGATACCTACCTCTGACTTCAGCAGCTGCACTCAGAGGCAGGTGTGTGATCAGTGCTAAAATGCTATATGAACAAAGAGATATTGCAGCAGAGAAGAAGGCAAGGTGTGTCTGACTTGGGTGGCCTAGAAGCCATGGAACTCTCAAAAAACTCACTGCTGTTGAGTCGGGTCCGACTCATAGTAACCTCTCCTTGGGTTTCCAAGGCAGTATCTCTATGGAAATAGATTGCCCAATCTTCCTTCCAAGGAGTGGCTGGCTGGTTTGAACCACCAGCCTTCTGGTTAGCAGTCAAATGCCTTAGGCACTATGCTACCAGAGCTCCTAGAAGGCATGGAGGAGGTAGAATTATGCTGGTCCTTGACACATGGCAAGGACTCCTATAGGCTATACTGAGGCCATGGGCATACCAGATGGGAGGGGGGGATGAGCAAAGGCACAGAAGCCAGACTATGCAGTCACTGATTTCTCAATGAATATGTGAAACCATTGATGAAAGAAGGAGCACTGAGCACCCGAGGGTGAAGGGATGGAGAGTGAAGGCATCTAGAATGGAGAGGAAGGAAGAAAGGACAGAACCTAGGAGGACAGCTCATGACTAGACTCAAGTACCTTGTGTGGACTGAGATCATATCTGATTTGACTATCTCCCCAGTGCCTGTCCCAGTGCCTGGAATACAACAGGCATTCAGTAAATGTTTGATGAGAGAATGGAAGATTGACCGCACTTTGTTGGTCCAGACTGGCCATAGATGTGCTGCTATTATCAAGTGGGGCCATCAAGAACAGAGGGGAGGGGGATGTTCAAGCAAACTTCCTCCTATCTTCCTCTGAAGCACATACTCTTCACTTCTGGGACTTCAAGTGGTTTTTTAAAAATGCTTTTTGCAAACTTTCATTTCTCAAACTAGAAATCCTATACCCATTTGAGGTTTCCTTCAGAGTCATGTGTTGATTGGGGGTTGCTTTAAAGACCACCTTCAAGTTTTCAGTTTGCACAGTGGCTTATTTGCAAACCTCAAACAATTGCCTTAACATTTGGCTTCCTAAGGAAATCAGAATGTCAGTCTCCCCGGCTCTTACAGAAGATCACCAGGGATCGCATGAAACCAGCAACTGACCATAGGTGATGTAGCAGGAAATGACCCCAGAGTCATAGGAATTACTGATTTTCACTAGTTCTGTAAATAACCTTCCTTTGATCTGAAAAAAAAAAAAAAGCACAAGATTTTTAAGAAAAAAAGCATATTTTTATCAAGGGCCAAATAGAAATTTCATATGCACCTCTTTATCTCATTTACTACTCAGGACTTGGAGACATCTCTTGTGGTGTCCAGAGAGTGGTATGCAGGATGAGGCATACTTGTCTGCATTTGCAGATGAGTTGCTTGAGGGTAACTAGAAGTAGTAAGTGACTTGCCTGAGGTCATAGTTATCAAACAATGCAATCAGCATCCAAAACAGGTCTTAAAGTTGTTCAGCTGCCCTCTTTTTACTATACTGATTGTTCCTGTCCATGTGGAAGCACTTTCTTAACTCTAAGGGCCACACAAATTTTCAGAGCAGCTAAGGACAGTTGTTCAGGTTGTTCCTTGTGCTAGAGCATGAGAACTAAGGAGACCA